CACCACCACAGCTGCTGCAGGGCACAACTAACCTTCCCATAAACCCGACTCTTTAGCAACGATACTCCTCACGCCCCCATCCTCGGAACAAATTCAGGCCTAACTCAGCTCTAGTTGTTGATCAGACATGTAGTGGTATCTCTCCATCGGGAACTTGAAGCGAGGATGTTCCCAGCCAAAGGTTGCCCCGTGGTCGGTGTCTGAGTCTGCTGCAGCATGGGTTCCACCAGAACCACAATGATACTCACATTAACTCACTCCGTGGCATCAAAAGCAAATTTAGGGTCTGCAAGACGAACACAACAATGATGGGTTTTCCTGTATGTCTGTCACTTTAAAGCTTTTCAAACCAGTGTAGATCCTCGTCCCTGTCCACTGATGAAGGCACATTTTTCTGTACCGCAAACATCCTTAAAAGAGGTCTGACTGAGGCCGTCCCTAAAGCTGAACATACACTAAACTGTCCTAAAATACCCCATCACAGTGGGGAGGTGGAAAGCAGTACATCTTCCCACCATCCAAACCCTGGAAAAAGACAAGCTCCCAATGTGGTCCAAACTCATCTGTGTGGTAGATTTTTAATGTTTGCTTCTTTAGGTTTCATTACTTGTAGAGTTGTTTGGCTGACAGGGCCAACACACACAAAGCACAATGGTTTGATAACATCTCAACAGAAACATGGGTAACACTGTGCAATGGAGGATTTAATAGATGATGGACTGTACAATTTCTTGACAACAGCATCATCCAACCATTTCCCCTTTCCAGGTCACTTTTCTCTCCAAGTTCTTTTAACCCTGGACAGGTCGCAAGTTCACCATAGAGACCAACGAGACAAAACTAAAGAGACTAGGTAAATGTCCATAAACTTTGTAAGCAGTGTGAGTTGGGCTACACAATATATCGCAAAAATATGGTCATAGCAATATCAGTGTGTGCAATATTAATATTCCAAAGGACTGCTTGGAGTGCAATAAATGATGACTAATGCATTTGATGAGTTTTGAAGTTGTATTTTCAAGCTAATGCAATATTTAGCCAGTAGTATAGCTCACACCAGACATAAATAACATCGCCAAAAGTGCTACAGGTCACATAAAGTAGGAAGTACAGGTTAGAAAGGGGGGAAAGAAAAAAATCCAACATATCGCACCTGATATTGTCATCGTAATATCGCCATCGCAAGACTTCCTAATATCATGCAGCTCTAAGCGTGAGGGTGACCACAATAACTGTAGGAAGCCAAAGGAAGACACATACACCATAGAATATGCTGGTTTGGATAGAGGAGGAGGGAAGTGGTTTTACAGCTTCAGCAGATGTTGTTGAGTGTTGTTTTATCAATCTCCAGTCCCGGTCAGTCCGTAACTTTTTTTACATGAAAAAACGATAGTTAATCGCAATAATTTCTGAGACAATCTATCGTTCAGCAACATTTGTTATCAGGACAGGCCTAGCATCATCTAACTCACTCACTCTTTGGTGAGTTAGCCACAACAGAATACAATGATTTGTGAATCCTTTTCAATAGGGATGCACTGATACCAGTTTTTCTCAAACAGAACATGACTGCTTTAGTTTGGGTACTCACCAATACCAAGTACAGATACTAAGTACTTACTGAGTTACAACTTAAACATTTTTCAGTGATTATAAAAACACATTTTTATATTAGAACCTGGTTCTAAATCAGATACATATCTGATGTTTGTCAAAGCGAACCTCTGTCTAAACCGGTGGTTCTCAATCCTGATCCTTGGACCACTATCCTGCATGTTTTAGTTGTTTCCCTGCTCTGCAGCAGGTTTTTAGCCTGCCAATCATTCATTCATTTAAATCAAGTGTGCCAAAGCAGGAAAACATCCACGTTGCATCAACGGTACAAAGCGTTTACACTGGAGGATGTATTTAAAATTTGAACATCCATGCAAAAAAATGGTATTGGTTCCAGGTATTGGGGTATTTTGAATGAGTACTGCTGGTATTTGCAATGGTGCAACTCTACTTTTCAACAGTTGAATACACTACAAAGATAAGATATTTAATAATCAAACTAATAAATCGCAGCTATTGCCAGTATCACTCCACCCCCTGTTAACAATAAGTGTTAATTAGGTGTCAACNACCTTCTCCTCTCTGTCAACGCTCTCTGGTTTCATTTAAAAGAGTCGATCATCAGATATTGTCCAAGATTAACCTTCAGGGTGGATATAGCTCGCTCACACAGATGACCTATCCACATCATCATTTACCCAGAATGCTTTGTGTGTAAATAAAATGGCTCTGTCCGTGTAATATATTTTTACAGTCTTTATTTTACAGTTAAAACAAATGTTTATCAAATAAAGTCTAATGTTACAACTAATCATGGATCTCTTTAAGAAACCAGACTTAAAATGTGCATTTTTCTGTGATAGAAACAATCAGACAGATTAAATTAGTAAGAACTTTCTGGAAAATTCAGTTTAATATTTTAGGTTTCATGATTTGTTCCAATCTTAGTTAAAAAAAATGGAGTGCCTTTCTGAAAGCAGGACACCTCGGTTCATTTCTTCGTGTCAGTGATGTGAAGCACAATGTATGGCCTCCAGTTAGTAACATCCTGACGTAAAGTCCAGTCCTTCTCCGGATATCTGAAGTTCCTGTTTGATTCAGAGCAGGAAAACATGTCAGCCTGCGTTCAGGCGCTGGCCTGCGCCCGCTCCTGCTGCCTCCTCTGGTTGTAGGCGTGGTAAATGTCCAGGAACATGTTCCTGCAGGGTATCCGAGCCTTCAGTTTGGAGCAGATGAGGAAGGAGCCCGCCATCTTCCTGTGGAGGGAGTACGTCTCCTCAGGGGGTGGCGTGAGGCGGTGGCGCAGCATGATGGGGACCAGGTTCTGGATGCGCTGGGTGGTGCTCTGAGTGCCGAAATCGAAGGGTTCGTTGGACGCGAAGGCTTCGCCGAGGATCATCACAGCCTCCACATGGGCATCCATGAATGCCTGGTGGCGAGCAGGAGAAACGTCAGAGCGTACACATTAAATATTAAAGACATTCGGTATGGTTTTACTGAAAACAGAGCCCTAATCCTAACACTCAAGGTGAAACAGCAACAACGGCTCTCATCACTGTGTGACAAAAATGGTGGCACTTTGTTTGCAGAGAAGCTTCTCGACACAAGGCCTGGGCCAAACTTTCTCACAGGTGAATGTGACGAGTATTAGTCAGAGGTCAGAGGACATGTTTGTTTATGGAGAAAAACACTTCAGACAACAATGGTGGTGTTTTTGTTTCAACAACTCCACTTCTAGAAGATGGTTGTTTTTGAAATAATATAGATAGTTTTTAGGTATAGTTGTCTGAGGCAGTCAGTGGATACATCCATCTATAGCAGGGCTATTGAACTGGCGGCCCGCGAGTGACCAAAGTTCGGCCCGCCAATTGCTTTATTCATCTCTTAAGCCCAAACCTCCTGTTTTCTACTTTAATTACTCTAAGTTGTTTTAGTTAAACATAGACATGTTTGGTGTCTACAGAAACATCAGAATCTTGGTTAAAAGCTGGTAAAAACCATTTCTATGAACATCCAAGACAGTTTAAAAATAAAACTATGAAAGTGAAAATTGGTTTAAAAAATTTGGCAAATCAGAGATGTCAAAATATTTGTGGTAAATAAAAGGAATAACATGTTATTTTTGTTGTTTTATTATCACTACTTTTATAGGTTTCTGTATGCTGTATTCATGATTAAATGTAGCAAAATAAACTATTTAAAAGGCAACAGATCTTTGTAATACTTGGTTTATTTACACAATGACTAATTGATAGATGGTGGTTCCCCTCAGCTGTAGGCCTGCAGTAACTGTGGTCCCTGGAGCAGTTTAGGTGAATAGCCCTGATCTATATTACAACTCTTCCAGCCTGGTCAAATGGCCAAAACTACTGGATGGAGACAGCTAATATTGTTAGCTAACACACCAGATACTGACTGGTTTCCAGACCCCACCCCCGAAAAAAACAAAAAAAAAAAAAAAAAAACTACTAAAGTTCATTTGTTTCAACATTAAATATATTTTATTTTGTATTGAATTAAATATAGGTTGAAAGGAAAGTGCAAATCATTGTATTCTGTTTTTTAAATATGTTTTATGGTTGTAGCTTAAGCACTATATCCTGTGTGCCACTTCAGGTGCCTCTACTGAGAGCTGTGGCAGGTAAAACCTTGAGCTTTTTTTTATTTAACCAGATTAAAACCCCACTGAGATTAAGATCTTCATTGCACCTGAGCTTTAAAGTGACAGCTGAGAAAGTTCCCATTTAATTCCACAAAAGTTGGCGAGCGTCAGTGAGTGAAAAGAGCAAACTTATCCTTTCACATCTCAGGACAACCTAAGCACAATCCTCCCATCCTCCGGTCTCACTTGAAGGTAAAACCTAAAGATCCACAGTCTTTGTAAGTAATGCAACACTTTTAATACGTCTCATGTGACTGTCCCGCTCTGAACCCTTTGACCGCTTCAGTCCACCCTTTAAAGCAGCCTGACAGTCTGTCTGAGAGAAGTGCCGTGTCATGGAACAGATGGAGAGCCACAGACAATAGGGCTGCATGCATTAGGCTCCACATATGAAGGCATGTGCCAACTGTGGAAGTGTGTGAGAGCATTCTTCCTGAAATCAGAGCACCGAATGTAGGCTGAATGTGGATCACTTCTAACAAAGAAGAAGCTTTGAGACCCTGAAACATAATGTGATGAGCAGTGATGAAAGGATGGAGACAGAGAGACTCATGGTGAGCAGAGAGCATCAACTTCCACAATCACCCTTCAGAGTGAGTGTTATCTGCCCAGAGTGTCTAATAAAGTCACTCTGAGCCCAATAATGACACACTCAGTCTCCTTCACTGACAGTAAGTGCTGTTGCAGGGTTATAATTGGAGTTGTGTGTTTCAGTAACATGATTATAAAAGTTTCAGCTGCTCTGGAGCCCTGCACGATGACTCTCTGCGGTCTGTTCATTCATTTCACACACGGTGGGCCCGAATCAAACGCAATGCAGTCCAACCCGAACCTGTGGTGACCTCTAAAAGTCTCCAATCAACGCTTTCTCATGGTTGGACCCATTATCATCCTGGTTCTGATCCAGCCGTCATCAGCACCTCCCCGGAGGTGTCAGATTGGACTCACCCAGCAGAAAGAAAGATGATCGGCTCCCCGCTTCTCCTCTGTGGAAATCCAGGACCACGAACGTCCACAAAAAAAAAAGGCAGCCAATGGTAGGGTCTGGTTTCAGAGGAGCGTCTTCCTCATCCGCGCGACGTCTGAGGCGACGTGGAGCGCCGAACCGAGCCGAATATACTCCTTGGAATAAAAATAATTATAATAATATTAACAGGCTTCAGAGCTGAATTATTAGAGTTTAAATAAAAAAAGCGAGTCTGGTTGTAAATGGTGGTTCTGGTAGGAATGTTGCTGTAGCGTAGGATCTCGGATGCTTTGCTTGTTTGGCCGCTTCTCCCCCGGCTCCACCCGCTCCACCAGCCTTCCCACTCAGCCCATTGGCCGCACACGAACAGCCACTCTTCCCATTGATGGTTTCAAAAAAGAAAAGAAGAAAGGGGAAAAAAAAACCTCAGGTTTGGTGTCAGCTTTTCAACTGCGCCACCGTGCGGCTTGTACCCTGACATTACAGCCATCTTTATACAGAGCTTCAGGGATGGCACCAAGG